CCCCCCTCCGCCTCCGACTTATTGTGAGGGGTGGGAGTCTGGATCGTGTGCCAGAACTACGGCACAACAGTGTTGCGGGTTTGCACGTCCCAGAAGCCACGGCGCCTTGCGGGTAGAGCAAGTGGGCAACCCAGCATACCGTTGTGTCGTGGCCCTGACACGAGTTAACACGCGAGCGAGGGGGAAATCACTTACGCACTAGCTCGTACACCCAGGCCTGTACTAAAGACATAACTCGTACTAACAGCGTAATAACACGTACTAATGGAAGAAATCAAGCGTAATACCGTAGTGCCGTTATAACATTACTTTGCAAAAATGATGAAAACTACGCAAAAATTGGATGTACTAACGTGTAGTAACGTACTAACTCGTTCACTTTGATCTGGAGTGATTTCCCCCTCGCACGCGAGCGCATATCCTGGGGCTCCAAATGTGTCATTGTTCCGTGTGGCAACGCCACGATACAACACAACAGTATGCGGGTTGCCTACTCACTCCATCGGTAAGGCGCCATGACCCCTAGGGTCTGTAAAACTGCAACCTTGTTGTGACGCATACGTCTCAGGCGCGGTTTTAAGTCCGTCTGACGGAGCGGACGATTTACTCTGGGTTGCCTTCTTTCAGTTTTTTTTTAGGACAAATTGTCTACCTACCGGGGGGGGGGGGGGCATGCCGCCTCTTGTACAAGATACAGCTCTCGGCTCACGTTAACAAGTATGCGGGGCCTGTCCACTCTCTTCTCTCTTTTCCCAAGGTTTCAGTGTTGTTGGTGTTGTTGTCTCTCTCGCGCCACTGGCCCTCTTATTGGGAAAGGGGAGATGGGCTTTCAAAGCCCTGAAACTAGACTGGGCAAAGCCCTCTTTTATACCAGGTGGCCGACTCACGCCGCGTACTTTCGTTTTTATACTATACCGCAAGCACGGGTGCCGGTGGGTTTGCCTATCCTCGCTGCCCACGGATCGTAGGCTCCTTACCGCCTGCACGCATGGGAAAATGTGGTACAGTATAACTATGAAGTGCGCGACGTGAGTCGGCCACCTGGTAAAATTACCTCTTTGATATTCCCAGGCGAACGTCCTCATGTGTGCACTGTGTGCGGAAAAGGATTTAGCACGTCGTCTTCCCTTAACACTCACAGCAGGATACACTCGGGTGAAAAACCACATCAATGCCAGTACTGTGGAAAGAGATTTACAGCTTCGTCCAACCTATACTACCATCGGATGACCCACAGCAAGGTACTGCTCTATCCATTTATATTCTTCTCATATGAACAGGCAATATAAACTGGACATGTTGCTTTCTCTCTGATTTGAAAGGATAAACCACACAAATGTTGCAAGTGTCCGAAGTCCTTCCCTACACCTGGTGATCTACGTGCACATTCTTATATCCACACTGGAGAATGGCCTTACCGATGTGCTGTGTGTGGGAGAGGGTTTTGTAAGCAGGCCAACCTCCGGAATCACCAGCAACTCCATTCGCTCTGATTTAACTTCATTGGATATTTTTGTGGATGTGGCGGCGTATCCGCCTCCACAACTTCTGAACAATTTTTTTGGAATGTTGTGGTAAATAATGCCACATGTTACAAAACTGAATAGCAATGTTTATTCCAGTAAATAGTTAACATCATTTGTTGCAGACTACAATTAAGTCTCCTTTAGTTTCTTTTCGGCAATGATATCATCTGGTAATTCATCAATTTTTCGCTTTACTCCACTTACACTACTATTTTGCACATCCATATCATTTTGAACTGACAATTGATCAGTACCAAGTGCTTTTACATCCTCTGTATTCTTTGTAGTATCATCCGTTGACTCTTTATCATTGTTATCACTGGCTTTCACAACAGCCACTTCAGAAGGTTTACTATCTTCCATGGGTACTGAAGCAGCAGAAATTGATGCTTGGGTGGATGCTGAGGTGTCTGTCTTGGTGATTTCTCTAATAGCCATAGTAGCATATGTAGATGGTTCCAAACACATAGACATAATGATAGCCTTGTACTTTGCATCTAGAACAAAGAAAAATTAGTTTGTGATGTGTGTAAGGCACTGTGATGTCACACCACTTCCAGTTATAGTTAATTGTTATAATGGACGCAACCCACTTTTAAGAACATACCTTTTGGTTCATCTTTACTGATGACTTTTCCTTTTAGTTCCTCAAAATCTGATAAGATTAAATCTTTTTCTGGGTCATTATAATGAACAATTTCCCACTTTAATTTGTCCACCTTTGCTATTATATGACGATAAGTACCACCAACATTGTATTGTCTAGAAGAGCAGACAATTTAAAATTTCAACTTTATTTCAAGCATTTTTAGTAGAATATATTAGATTTCATTAGTTTATATTGAAAAGAATGAACATACTTAACACTATGTTGTTTCGTTTCTGATGACAAGCCATCTTCCTTCAGTAAATTTTTCATGAAGTCACCAATACTGTTACTGGGGTATACAATATCCCAGCCAGGCAGGGGGAGCACAACATCTTCCATTTTAAAATTGCCAATGTCATCTTCAGTTATGCACCGAACATCTTGTTTTTTATATCCTGTCAAAAACATCAACATAGAAATTGAAATTACTTTCAAAATATTTTTTCAATATATATTAACTGCAAACATTACTCACTTTCTGCAATCTCAACCTCGCCAGATGATGCGAAAGCACTATCATCAAGTATCACACATTCTTCTTCGGCATTTGATTCTTTTTCAGATTTCACCAAAACTAAATCCCCTACAACAGGCTGGAAACCAAATTCTTTGATTCGTTGTGACACTGCTTTGTTCCAAATTAAACTTTGATAAGCATGCAAATACATGAGACGACTATTCCTTGGTACCTATAAAAAATTTAAGTTTTCTTGAAAATTGAATACAAAACAGTTATGTGAACATCCAGAACAAGTAATCTTTTTTATAGATACAGTATTTACCATTGTCAAGGCATTTACAAAATCTGTACGTCCAAACTTAATGAGACCCTGGAGTAAACACTCTTCCAGGCTATGGGTCATACGAGGCAATTTACCCAAAGCAGCTTTGGCATCTTTACTCGACCTCCACTCATCTAAAGCTGCTTTTAATGCAGGAAAACTCTCGCGAGGTTGAAGGATTAAATTAACTGCCTGTAAGAAGCCAAGGGCATTAGCTAACATAATCCAAAAATTGCCACCTCTACCAAGATTTAAACTGACCTTCTCCCAATCACCCAGGAAGAGACATTTTCCAACAGAATGAGTTGGCACAGCTATATTTGTTCCAAATCGCTGCAGTCCATAATAGTTTACAAAGCCATTATTCCGTAATGACTCTAGACCAGTAGTAATTTGATCATCAGAACCATTTACAAACCTTTCATAGAAATGATTAATTTGAGCAAACAGCAGTATTGAAATCAACCAGATATCTTCACCTTAAAATACAAACCTGAGAGCAATTCTAAATTGATTACCCTTAAGATCACCCAGCTTGAGAGAGTTTTCTTTAAAGGTAAAGTTGCCTAAGCACACATTATGAAGGCCTTTACTTAAATTGAAAAGGCGAGATGGTTCTCCCCTCCTTATACACATAAGTTGGCTTGTAATTCCACGTCTATCTTTAGTGCCAGCAAAAGTCAAACTGCTAGGTTTCATCCTGTTTTGTTTTTTTTTAAATTGTGTTAAGTATAGAGTTTTGTTTTAGTGATATATAGGGGCAAAATTCCATGAGAAAGCAATTCAATAACGCACCATAGCTTCTTTGATATCAAATTTACAGTTTCAGATGTGTCCGTATTTCTCTTGTGAACAACAAAATGCAAATACTCCCCTTTTCTAGAGGCTGGCCACTTTCCTCTATTGTCTTTTGTACCCTTTCCTACTCTAAATGTAACAATTTTTTTTCCGTCTTTATCTATTGTGTTACCATTGACCTCTTTAAAAGCTAACTTGACACATGTATGTATGGCACGTCGGCCATCCTTATCCATATCCGTCACCTGTAAACACACAATCAAAAAACAAGTAAATTCCACTACTTAATGATGTAAGAAAATTAATAATACCAGCAGAGGAATGAAAAATCCATTGAAGTCTCACATCAAGTTCAACTGACTGTGATTCTTCATTGGTAGAAGTTGATGGGCTTTTCCCAGGCTGCTCAGAACCCTGAGGTACATCAGGAGGATTACAGTTCTTTCCAGAAATTATATCAGACTCATTTCCTGGACCTTTCTGCATAGTCTCTGCATTTTCTGATAAAGCTGGCTTACTACACTTGGTGTTGTTTGATGATAGAGATTTTGAATAGTTTTGGACCATATTACATATTTTCTCCCAGACTTCTATAGGAATAAGTTCATGTCGTTCAACGGTCACATTTTCTGCAAATAAATGTGAGTTTCAGTCTTAATTTCAACATCAGCAGAAATTTAAGAATAGATCAAGCATTTACACTAACCTTCAATTGGAATATCAAGCGATGTCAACTTCACCAAATTTCCGTCACAGTCAATTTCATTTACATGAAAGTCAGAAAACCTGCAAGGACATAAATCTTACATGTTCGACACGTACCACAAAGAGCTGAAAGGTAGCTACGACAATCAAAGTGGCATAACATAGATAAGTTCTCACCGATGTTTCATGACAGCTGTGAATCCTTCGTGTTTGCTTATGAATTCTGTTATTCCTACTTCAACTTCAGACAAACGAGGTGTCATCACCTGCTGAGATACCTTGCTGCCCTTGTTTTGATTGAAGCCGGCTGCTGAAGGTCTTTCCCCACGAAAGCCACCACGCCAGCGGTGCCCTCGGTGAGGTCCTCCACGCCCACCTCTCCCCCTTCCTCTGCCCCGGTTCTTACCATCACCCCTCATTTCAAATTCAAATACTTGTTGAATGAAATAATGTCACAAAATATCACGTCTTAACCTCAAAACGAAATGTGGTGAGGGATCAAAACAACAAAACACAACCCTTTCTGAACTGAACTACGCGCCTTGTCAAAATCGATGTTAGTGTGGAAGGAGTAAAAACATGACACAAATAATGGAAAAAAGTTAAGAAATTTGAAAGAACCAGAAGTACCGTTTTAAGTTTCGAATAATTATTCAAACGACTCTTTGCTTTAATCTCGAATTAATTTAAGAACAACATGTCTCTGAATGTTTTAACTTTTTCAAGCAGTTGTTGTTTTTTGTTTTGTTTTGTTGATAAAATTCGAAAATTTTAAATGAACTAGACTTACTGCTAC